GGGGGGGGGTTGTCTCTTCTGCTGTGAGAATATCAAACCTGCCAACCACTCCATAAACAAAGTATAAGTCAAGTCTTCCAAATAAATCCTTCCCAAAAATTAGAGTTCGGGGAAAAAAAATTGGGGAGTCTCCAGAACTCCAGTAGAAAAAAATAATATGTAACTAAACGACTGTGGCAAATAAGCCTGAATATCAAATGCACTCCAAAACAACGAATTAAAAATTGTGTATTTTCAGGTCATTTACAATTAGTCGCATATTACCTTGTGGGAAATAATAATAATAATAATAATAATAATACTAATGATAATGATAATAATAATAATAATGATAATAAAAATAATAAATATAGCCCCAAATCCTGGAAGGCTCAAAGTGATATCATTAACCAAAGAATCAAACAAATTTCAGGGGAAAAAAAGTGGATTGTATTTATTATATGCAAATCTTGACAGGCCAAAACAAAAAATCAGAGAGCTGCGATAGTTTTATTGGAGTACTTGGCAGATCTGTTGCATGGAGGGAAGGAGGGAAGAGGAAGGAGGAGGGGGGAAAAGGGAGAGGGGTGTGAGGGGGGTGGGGTGGTGAGGTGTCACGTCTGTTGTGACAATATATAAAATATGATAACCGTCACAGAATCAGGTTTGAAGGTCAAGGTCACCCCAGAACAGGTCAAGGGGTCAGATGATATGAATTGCAAAAATTATAGTAGTGGGGACACCCACACGCTCAAGGACAATACACACATGCATACAGATAGACGTACGCACGACGCCCTTTCTCTCTTTCCGATTTTCTCTCTTATGTGTACATGTGTGCAAAGTCTCTCTCTCTCTCTCACTCAGACACACACAAAAACACACACACGCATAAACATTTTCCTTACTTCTTCTCATTTTCTTTCTCCATCTCTCTCTATCCTCTTTTGTCTCTCTCAAACACACACTCGAACACAAAGTCCGTCCTTCTCTCTTTCACACAAACGTATAAAAACCCAGCCACTCAGATATTTCGACGGAGCACAGCAGTTGACCAGTAGATGGCTCGGTACCCGCAGACCAAACAGATCTGAGCGGGTCATTCATCCCCACAAACACACACACACACACACCCAAAAACACACACACACACACACTCGTATACAGATCCCCAAACATGATTGATGTATTGTACAAAAAACAAACATTTGAAACAATATCAGTTTGAGATTTCATAATTGTAACCATATTGTGTACAGTGGGGAAGAGGGAGGCAATGGGAGTACAATATATCAGCAACTTCCCAGATTTTTCATAGATTTGCGTCTCTTTGCAAACTGAGAGCGGAGGCTTTGTTGTTGGTTTTTTCGTCTCCGTGATTTACAACACGATTATTGACTTCACTCACCCCTTTGGTAAAAAAATATCGCCATCCCAGACACTTTTGTATATTTGCTACGATGGCTTACAGCATACATGGCATATATATGTACATAGGGATCCACTGGAAATGTTTTTTTATGCCCTCATCAACATACTTTGTTTAGGCTGACCAGGCTTCTTCATCCCTGCAGTTCAAGGCCAAGCTAGGCCGAGTGGGGATAAAGTATCCCAACAGGCAGACGGAGATACTCCATTTTATATCTGTCCGCCCATCCGCGTGGGAATCGAACTCGCGTCGCGTGTATTCTACAGCAAAACGCTCAACCATCATCACACAACATTTCGAAAGCTTAGCGTAAGATTCCGCCGTACCCCATTTTTGAAAAAAGAACGCACGACGGAGGCTTATGCTGTGCCGTCAGTTTGCCTGTCGGCACGCGTCTAAATCATACACATCACAAAATGTAAAAATAGGAATATCATTATTTTGGGGCACCGAAGCGCGCAGCACACACCCCTCACAAACAAACAGACACAGTCGCCTTCAGATGACCTACTTTCACACTCCTTGACATGGTTTTGGCAGCATACAAAATGTTACTAAGAAAAATACATTTTCAAAAAGGTACCAAATGCATATTGGGAACAGAGACACAAATTGCTTCTTCTCCTGAATCAGTATGAGGCAAAAACAGATTTCAAGAGCTACACATGCAGATGAATTATTGGAATCAACTATCAGCGATAGTTAGGATGAATCAACTATCAGCGACAGTTAGGATGTATAGTATTGCTTTGACGGTACCCACAGCGGTGAAAGAAGACGTTACAGTGCAACACTGAAGAGAAATCTTCCCTCTTTGTCTCTTACGTCTACTAGATTACTTTATAAAATACATTTATAGGATCATTTTTTTTCTTTACATATTCATTCGGGTACAAAATAGCTCTAATCTAAAAGTAAAATAACACCCCAAGAACCCCCATCCCCATCCCCTTTCCAAACATATTTCAGGGAAAAAAAAAAGTAAAATGGACAGCTCAGTGCAATACTGCATCATACGTCACTTTTGACAAAACACGGCGTAGGGTGGAGCCATACACTACGCAGTCGAAACATTTGAAGTCAATCAACCTATGTCAGTGTCACTGATCAAGAGGAGAGAAAAAACAACAACCCCCTGACAGGAACCTCATTATTATTTAGTGTTATTATTATTATTATATTTATTATT